CAAGCCGATCCAGACCCAAACCAAGTCGATCCGGACCCAAACCGGCCGATCCGGACCCAAATCAAGCCGATCCAGACCCAAATCAAGCCGATCCGGACCCAAACCGGCCGATCCGGACCCAAATCAAGCCGATCCAGACCCAAATCCAACCGATCTGGACCCAAACCGGCCGATCATCACTAAGTGTTTAGCTTTTAACAGATCATCAAACCAGGACTCTGCAGATCTTTGGTTCTCAGAATGACTGGACCTACCCTGCCTCCATTCCTCATCATGGACTTCAGGGACTGAGCCGCGTCCTGCAGGAGAAAACATCAAGAGCTGAACAGATCTCTAAAATAACATCTGAAAAAAAAATGTAAACCGGAACTAGGAACGCAAACCGGATCTGAACTAGGAATGTTACCCGGATCTGAACTGCATCTAAACAGGATCTAAACTAGGAGTGTGAACCAGATCTGTACTAGAATATTGAACCAGGTCTGAAATATGAACCAGATCTGAAATATGAGTGTGAACCGGTTTTCAAATTTGAACGTCAACCAGATCCTAACTAGCAATGTGAACCAAATGTGAACATATTGAGTTTAAATTGTGTAATAAAGGCAACATATGGAACTAATCTAATGATCTTTGGGATTTTTATTAATCTGGATTCAGTCTAATCTCAAACAGAAATGATGCACCTAAAACAAATCTATACCTGGTTCAGTCTTTGCTCCAACAGAACCAACTACTGGACCAGTTTATAGCAATGATCCACATTGAACGACACTTCCTGTACTTTTATTTATCCGTTTATCAGATCGGGTTCCTGCAGCCTCTGGAGGGACTGAAATATCTCCTCTTCTTTCCTTCTAGTCATCCCGTTGATGCCGAGCGAACGGATTCTTCCGACTAGAGAGAAGAGCAGGATCTGAACGGTACCTTGTTGTGCTGCTCTGCTGACTGCATCCTCATGCCGTAAGCCTGGTGCCGAGCGTTCTGGACCGGTTCAGGCCGGTCTCTCCTTCCCAGGGCCTGAGGGGCGAACTGGCCAGAGGTCAAGTAGGCGGGACCCTGCTGCTCAGCCTGCAGAACATCACAGAACCCAGACACACCTCCTTCATCAGTGATTTTAAACCGGAGGAATAGGGGAGGCGCAGATAGCTGCCATGGTCCATAATAAGCGGTACGGTAGGTGGAGATAAACATCAAACAAGTTCTCAGATGATCATCATCATCATCAGCGGTGCTTCACCCACCTTCATCCTCTTCCGTTTCTCCTTGTTTCTCCTCTTGAAGTTCTCCTAAAAGATGGAAGAACAGTTTTCAGAAGGAACCCAAACTCCAGAAGCGACAATCCAGACCTTCAGCTGGTGTTCCGTCAGCTCAGCATACCACGTCAGGCTAGCATACCCTTAGTAATACGCATCATAATCATGATAATATTAGCGGTTATCAGTCATTTTCCACCACGGAATTAATCAATCTGTTTACGAATAATCTGAAAATTATTTCTCTAGTTCTTCTTGTACTGTAAAAATAAATAAATAGAAATAAAATGATCCGCATGTCGCTCGTATTAAACAAACTGAAAACAAATAAATCTCATATTCTGTCAGCTGGGTTGTAGAATCCTCTCCCTATAAATATTAAATTCTATGTGAAAAAAATGCTGATTTTTTAATAAGATCTCATCTAACGGACATGCAATGTTCTTTTTTTTATACTAATATGTGTAGTGGATCGAGTGAAGGACTATTTTTGTAGTTTTATGCACAAAACTACAACAAAAATCTGAAAAAATTTAGAAATAAAACAGAAAGATTGGTTCTAATCAGAGCGGAGACAGGATACTCTTTGCACTGGAAAACGATCTAGAAATAAGCAAAAACTCTTAAATTAGGTGTATTTACCTTTAATTTGAGTAGGCAAATAAGATAGTTTGCCAGTGGAATCAGAATATTTACTTTTAAAATAAGATAATAAGTCAATGCAATTGTGTTTTCTTATTTTTAGTGTAAATTGTCTTGTTCCTGTGGCAACATGTCTCTTTTACCTCCTTAATTCAGGAACAAATGCACTAATTTTAAGAAAAAACAACTTTTTTCCGTTGTGTGATGCTTATTAAGGGTATGCTGGCCTGACGCCGTATGCTGAGCTGACAGAACACTGGAACCGGGAGGCCGGAGAAGATCCAACATCTCACATCATCCTCTTTGCGTTTCTTGAAGATGTTGTCCTCTGCCACGCCCACGGCCTGCATGATCATCTCCACTCGCTCCAGGTTGACGTATCCGTTCTGGGTCAGGTAGCCCTGCAGAGGAAAACCTCAGAGTCAGTCTGGTTCTGGTGGACCAGCTTGCAGCAGAGCTCAGGGGAAAAAACTCACTCCTGTTTTATGGACGACGTCTTTGTAGATGTTCACCAGCCGGTCTATGGCTCCCTCTCTGTTGGAGGAGAGGAGACCAACGTTAGCGTCTGCATAGAACAAGAACATTCTGGAACCCCTCAGCTGCTGGACCGGTTCTCCAGAATGAAAAGGCGGTTTAAAGCAGGTTAGCATCTGATGCTACGACTCAGTTATTTTTTATTGCATTTGAGATCGAACCCAGAACCGGGTCAGAACCGCAGCTCTGAACAAAGAGGTCAAATGGGTCGGGTTGTGTTCTGAACCCCTAAAGGGTCTAAAATCTCAATCAGGGGCCGCCAGAAAGTTAAGGGGAAAAAGATAATTATAAAATATATTATTTTACCAGGTTTATAAAAACATTTTCATATTCCTGCGGTAAATGTTAAAAATATTTTGAACAATTCTAAAAGCAATTATTTGTCTTTATTGGAGAGAAAGTTGTTCAAATATTATTGAAATCAAACATGTTTCCCAGAAGAAAGTTTAAAGAAAACGAGTAAAAAAAAAGAGAAGAAAAGGAAACCTAAAAATGTTTTAAGCAAAAACAGATTTGAGAGGAATATTTATAACGTGAATAAGAAAGTCCGAGTTCTATCTTTACTGGGGCTGTCGAAAATATCGTTACTCAAACGTATCCGGATACAAAGCTGCTTTCCTGGATTTCGATAGTTTGAACTTTTAGTTTCATTTGAACAAATTGAATTTATGAAAATAAAACCTATTTAAAAAGGTTTTAAGAGAATATTTTAACTATTATTTTATCATTTTTATTATACTTTTTTAAGTATTATTTATATATATTTACAAATTCTTTAAAGTTTAATCTCTAATTAAATTTTTTTCCATTAAAAATAAAAAAAAAATTACCTTCTCAACCATCAGTTAAATTTCATGTCACTTTATAGATCCAGATCAACCAGAACATCCAGTCAGATTGATTCAAAGTTTTCTATCTAAGGAAAACCAGCTGATTGCATCGACTCATTGACTCTTCAGCAATCCCTCACACTAAGCATGCTTGTAGCGACAGTGGAGAGGAAAAACTCCCTTTGAACAGGAAGAAACCTCCAGCAGAACCAGGCTCAGTGTGAGCGGCCATCTGCTGAGGCCCACTGGGGTTCAAGGAGACAGAAGCAGACATAGAAAAAGAAGCATAGATACACAAAGATAATAAGAAATGCAAAACATAAAACTCGTTCAAAATTTTTCTTTCAATTAATGAATTAATAATGGGATAGTCCAAGATTCCTTAAAGAAGACTTTTTACAAAATTAAACAAGGTGAAACCACATGAGGAGTTCTGGATTATAGAGCAGATTGACGGACGAAAAAAAGTTTATCTTAAAGCTACAGTGTGTAACTTTTAGCGACATCTAGCGGTCAGACTGCAGACTGCAGCAACATGAACATCTCCCCCCCACCGAGCGTTACGGGACAAAATGTCTTCCACGACGTCCGCATCACCTACCTTCTCAAGTGATGAGGTTTGTTTACATAGATAATTTTACAGATAGTATTTCATTAGTCTGTGTAGGGTATAGATTTTATGTAGACTTAAGATAATAAATATACCCGTTATTTTTTCTACATCGTTGTGACGTTTTGGCGATCTCGCAATCGCTAGTTTGTTGGCTCTGCGCTGCCGTAGCGCAAAGATGTCTGCCTCCCTGTAATTATTACACACTGTAGCTTTAAATGCAAAATGTTTATATACATATTTTTGATATAATCACTGCTATGAGTGGGTCGCTCTGTCGGCTAAATGCCTGTTTTATAGTCTCTATACTAAATTAATTAATGAATTAGATAAACTTTGAATCAGTGTGACTCTACCATCTGGTGAATTGTAAAGTGAGATGACATTGGTGCTAGACAAATAAACTGAATTTAATTAGTTGATGATTATTTCAATAATTGATAAATCTGATTCATCATTTCAGCGTTACAGTCTACCAAAGAAAACTTTAGAAATAATAAAAGGAAGAAAGCAGGAAACTAACATTCTCTTGTTTCTTTGTTTTATCATTTTCCAAACTTTGACCAGATCAGACTCCAGCCTTTCAGTGCCGATCGTGTTCGAGCAGTGAAAGGGTTAAAGGTCAGGACGTCGGACATGTTTCTGGACCGTTTCAGATCAGCTTCAGATCCATGAGCTCCCATCAGGAGGAGGAGGAGGAGGGAGCGCGAGGCAGGCAGTGATTTAAAATGCTAATGAGGAGCGTTCAGCGCTCTGATTAAAATGCCAGCGTTCACGCAGAGGATCAGCCGCCAGGATTAGCTGATTAACTGGAACCTCATCTCCAACGCCGCCGCTAATTGCTTCGTGGTTACAGGACGTGAAATGCCAAATGCTGACAGGCGGCTGCTTCCTCAGACGGTTAGAACCAGGAGAACCGCCTTCAGCTGCGTCTCATTTTATTCAGAAGAAAGCAGCGTCTTTCTCCTGCAAACTCAGGCCCCCGTTTTTTATACATCACCTCAAGATTAAACCTTGAAAACACTTTGATGCTAAATGGAAAAACATAATCTGTGAATCAAACTGTGATAAATTACCCGACTAAACTGACAAGCAGCTGAAGATCAACCACACCAGGCTTTTAGCTAGCGATGCGTACTCCCCGTTTATGGGATGTACAGCTTTGGTACGCCCTCATTTTCCCTGGAAAAATTTACTTTGTTGCTGCTGGACGCGCCGCATCAACCAATGAGAGAAGCTGATCTGGGAGCTGGCAGGGAGTCAGATGCAGCACTGCTGAT